AAATTAACTTCTATCCCGTGCCTGAGGCGGAGAAATCCAACAAGCGCCACCGGCCGATTGGAATTGGCGTACAGGGTCTCGCCGACGCCTTCATCCTCATGCGTTTCCCGTTTGAAAGCCCCGAGGCTCAGCTGCTCAACATCCAGATCTTTGAGACCATTTACTACGCCGCCCTGGAGGCGAGCTGCGAGGCGGCCGCTGAGCACGGCCCCTACGAGACGTACGAGGGCTGCCCCGTCAGCAAAGGCATCCTGCAGTATGACATGTGGGAGAAGACCCCCACCGACCTGCTGGACTGGAAGCTGCTGAAGGAGAAGATCGCCAAGCACGGCATTCGGAACAGCCTGCTGCTGGCCCCCATGCCCACCGCCTCCACCGCTCAGATCCTGGGCAACAATGAGTCCATCGAGCCCTACACCAGCAACATCTACACCCGCAGGGTGCTCTCCGGAGAGTTCCAGATCGTTAATCCCCACCTGCTCAAAGACCTGACGGAGAAGGGGCTGTGGAGCGAGGAGATGAAGAACCAGCTGATCGGGCACAACGGCTCCATTCAGGTACTCGTCCACATCATGGGAAATGCTTTGTTTTGTCAAGATGCTGATTTCATTACTTTGTTTGAGTGGTATGAGTTTTTTTTTTTTACTTTTAGTCAAAAATGTTGAATGTCATTTGATCAATAAAGTCAAATGATCAATAAAGCTGCTGCTGTCAATCTGTTTCCGCTCTGTTAATTTGTTCTGATTGTTTTTTTTCTCCCAACAGGACATTGATGGGATTCCAGATGACATCAAGCAGCTGTACAAAACCGTTTGGGAAATCTCGCAGAAGACCATACTCAAGATGGCTGCCGACCGCGGCGCCTTCATCGACCAGAGCCAGTCCCTGAACATCCACATCGCTGAGCCGAACTACGGCAAGCTGACCAGCATGCACTTCTACGGCTGGAAACAAGTAAGGGAGCTGAAAGTAAGAAGATAAGTTATTACTATGAATGCAACAAAATGTGTTAAACCCTCCTCTTCCTCTCTCAGGGTCTGAAGACAGGGATGTACTACCTGAGGACGAAGCCGGCTGCCAACCCCATCCAGTTCACGCTGAACAAGGAGCAGCTGAAGGAGTCCCAGAAGGACTCGGAGAAGGATGTGAAGGAGCTTAACCTCGCTGCCATGGTGTGCTCTCTGGAGAACAGAGACGACTGCCTGATGTGTGGGTCCTGAACGCCTCACAGTCCTGATGTTATACACCTGTAACTACTCCAGAAACTTGAGCAATTATCTCTGAACGCACTGTCAGAATGTATAGAAATTATTTTATTGAATAAGTGTTCTGTCGACTCGCTTTATGTCCAATATTAAAAGTACTTAATACAATATGTTTTCTTTATGTTGGAACTCGAAATTAATTTGTAATAAAAATGTTTTACATGAAAGTTGTTTCATCCTGTTCCTGTGAGCTGGTGGGGAGAAAAAGTTGTTGGGAGATAACTAAAAACATTTAAGCTAAAACACATTACTATAGCATAAAGAAAGGTAGGACAAGTGGGTCGAAAACATACATTTTACCAGGAGGAGCAAATATTGAGCCTTCACTTCTAATGGCCAAAGATTCCTTGTGAATGAGCTAAAAAATATTTGTATTCAGAATGTCAACTCATAGTTGCATGTTTGGACTTCAATTAAACCCATTTATTTTTCTCTGGTGTTTAACGGAAATGTATATTATGACATTTAAAGGTGGGGTAGGTACGTTTGAGAAACCGGCTCGAGATACACTTGTTATATTCCATGGAATGCTCTTAACATCCCGATAGTAATGAATATCTTAAGTGCTTTGACAAAAAATCCATTAAATGTCCTCTGTGGAAGCCGTAGTACTGTAAAAAGCACGACCAATCATTTTAGCCGGCCCGGCTAAAATAACTGGATGGCCTACCTACCTGTCAGCCTTCCATCTGTGCACAAACTTATCTCGTGCCCTCATTGGTCATGTGCGCGTTCGTGTGTGTTGGAGGAGGGGCTCTGTAAGGAAGTGGCAGATTTTCTCCGGGTGTGTATTTTCAAATTCTAGCGATCTCTAGCTGGTTTCTCAAATTACCTACCCCATCTTTAAGTATGAGTGCTAAACAAAGATTCAAACTTTGAAATGTGATTTTTTTTTTTTTGGTTTGACATTATATAGAATGAACTGGATAGTGCTCTTTGGTATAATGTCTGGTGTTCTGTACACTGAACAAAGCTGTTTGCAGTCAGCTGTTTAACTGGTTTAGTACCATTTGTGTAACTTTGTGTGCAGGAACATGGAACACTTGTCCTAACATTTAAAGGAAATCACACGTGTTCTGATAATTATTTTTAATATATTTTTTATAAAATAATGAAAACATAATTTACACTTTTAAATGTACAAGTTATTATTACAACCCAAAGAAAAACAATTTTCAACCAATATGTCGTCTGTGCATCACGCAGCCTGCCACAAACAGGAAAAATGCCAGAAAATAGAAAACGAGGAATCATACAGATCAATTTTGTACAGAGATCAGAAGTAAAACGGCATACACAAATAAAAACACAGTACCCTCTCATCTTCACTACTGTCCGCAACAGTGGGAATGTGTTAAAAAATAAATTATCAAAATATTTAACATCTAAAAAAAACAAACCTAGTTATATTACCATTAACCGTAATGCATTATTGATTTGTTCAACAAGGATCGTTGTGTATGCTTTAAATAGCTTCAAATTATACAGAACATGAACAAACTTTAGATTAAAAAAAGAAACCTTGACCCTTGTAAGCAAACTAATAAGACCGTCACAGCGAGGAGCAGGAGAGCGTCACGACAGGAAGAGGAGCTTTCTCTGTGGAGGATCTGAACATTTATTTCAGAGAAACTGGTCAAGGTATTATTCCGGAACCGACACAAAAAGGTCCAACAATTGAAAAAAGTTACTCGTATCAAATCTGAATAACTGCAGAGGAGTAAAGGAGCTGAAAGCAGAAGGAAATGAGTCCGACTACAGCACATGTTCCCTCTTGAGTCTGTGAAATAAAATAGTTTTCCAGTAGGAGTGTGCGATAGTGTGGCCAAAATCATGGAAGTGTGATATACTGTAAATCAATACTAGATTTTAAAACGTTTCTATAGTTATTGTCAGCAGTATCAATACACAGGTATCAGCTGTGCTTTCTGCCCTCCAAAAGGAATGTGACACATCGCACCTGAAAGGAATCTATTGATACAATTTGTAACTGATATAAATAGTTTTCCCTTCTGTGTTTATGACAGTTTTAACAGATGGAAAAAAGGGACATTTATCTAGATTCTAGATAAACCCCCTTGTTTCACAGATCAAATAAACGTTTTTTCACCTGCTTTTAAGTCAGAAAACAGTTAAGATCAAATTTAGGAAATGGATCACCAGATTTAGTTCTCTCACTTGCCTTTCAGGACTTACATTTGATATGAAGATCAATTGAGAAACTGTTTATATTTTTCTGTTCAAGCCTAATTCAGCAGATGAAATGCCTCTGAACAAAGTCTTAAATCAATAAACGCTCCTTACAATGACCTTATCACTACAATGTTTTTAACATTTTGGCAAAACCCATTTCGACATCCTCTCAGGCTTGAATGTGTCACATCGCCCACAGTTTAGTTTATTCAAAGCGTTGTGAGGAACCTGAGCGATTAGGATTTACAGTTCCAGTCAGACCAGAGAAGAAGAGACCTCCGGATCATAAGAAGTAGCAGATGATTCGTCAGCGATATCAAAACTGACACAGGAAGAGTCATCCTCTGCACGGATGTATTGTCCATTCAGTACCAGCGTTCAAAAACATTATTTCTGTATGAAAAATAGATATAGTAGACAATATCGGTAAGCAAGCGAGCGGTATAAATAGTGTCTCATGTGTTCACTTGGGTCATCACAGAACACGGGGACAAATCCTCGCACACAGGCAGAAGTGTTGTGGGTTCATGTACAATAAATGTTTCCTGTAAGCACACGTGATCAATGGCAGCGTCGTTTACAGTTGTATGTAAAGAATAGTTTGACATTTTGGAGAATACCATCACTCATTTTCTAGAAGTGAGATTGACACCACCCTCATATTTGTCTGTTAAAAATGCAAACCTACAAGGTTAGCTTAGCATACTGACTGGAAAGGAGGGCAACATTGAGAGCAGAGTGTGTTAGCAGTACATGTAAGCGTGTTATGATCTTTTAAGTACACAAATTCAGCTAAGACTCCTTGAAGTAACTACTCTCTTAGCCACAACAGATAGTCCATTAGACGAGGAATTGTCCTTTTAAATAGTTTTTTTTCTGGTATTAGATTATTTAGATATGTTAAATAATGAGCTTTAGAGGTGCATGTGGGCCGTCAAGCTGGCTGCTTTCCCCTGTATCTTTATGATAAGCTAAAACCTCTCTCATGATGTTACTACAAAATGTCAAACTACTGCTTTAAATATTAGGAAACAAAGTTGATTTCAAAGACGTACTGGGATGAGGACTCAAGGTTAAAATAATTATCCAGTCCATTTAGATTTGAGATGAAACGGCACTGCTGAAAAACAGAAGATAATATTCAAAACAATGCACTACATTAGAGATATGGAACTATAATTAATATCACTGAGCTTCATGACATCGACCTTTAACACCCACACAGCACGCCGATGGCTTGTTTCACATCTGAAGGGCCACAGGTTCATCCATGTAAACGGAGGAGAGAAAAAATATCGTGGCCCACAAGATTTCATATTACAGTAAACTAGTTTGTTCAGCACTCGAAACGTCCCATAGCGCACACACACACACACACACACACACACACACACACACACATGCACACACACACACACACACACACACACACCACACACACACACACACACACACACACACCACACACCACACACACACACACACACACACACACACACACACACACACACACACACACCACACCACAACACACACACACACACACACACACCACACAACACACACACACACACACACACACACACACACACACACACACACACAAAATGCTGTTACTGTTGTGCCATTACGTTTCTGAGAATTTGCTGTACCATCAGTTACTCTCACACACACACACACACACACACACCCCTCTTTAGTACATCAATATCAATACAGTATGGGTAATATTGATACATGAGAACAGGCATGTATCTACAGTACAATGTCTGTAGAGCTTCCATTACTTCTAGTGCATTCTGGGAGATGCAGTCTGTAATGAGTCTTGTTGTTTTTTTGGCTGATTCGCTGCAGGAACAGTATTAGGCCTCTCCAGGTGATGATTCTCTAAAACAGTTTCCTCTCCTTCTCGCTCCTCTGGCATAGTAGCATATTTATATATATGAAAAGTATATAAGACTTTTTGACTTGAGTTTATAAAAATAAACAGGCTCAGAGAAAAGAGAGGGAGGCTCTCTGGGAGTGTTTCTGCATTTTAAAAATCCAGTTTTTCTGTTTCCTTGCTCTCTTTACGGTTTAAGGCAGTCCAGTGGAAGCTGAGTGGGGGGGGTCAGGGGTCAGCACCCCCCCCTCCCCTCTGTGGCCGGGTGCTCCATTCCCCCTCCTGCAGGAGTCACTCCCTCTTAGAGTCAGCCTCGTACGTTAAGGAGTTAGCCTCGTTGTCGCTCTCGGTCGTGTCGTTGTTATTATAAAGTCTGCTGAACTTGCGCAGCTGCTCGCTGGCCGACAGGCTCTCCACCTGCAGCCGCTGGTTGTTCTCCCGCAGGTTGGCCATCTCTGCCAGCAGAACCACTTTATCATGCTTCTCCTGAGGCAACAAGAAATGAGAAAAGGAGATGAGAAACGATGACTCGGACTGGACAATACATAGAAATTCACTGTTATTAAAGGGTTAGTTAGACTTATTCATCATTCATCATTTGGTCTATACAATGTCAGAAATAGATGAAAAAAGGAACATCCCAGTTTTTTTAAGTCCAGATACATTACAGTGTGAGACAGAAAAACTAATACATTATTTTCTTCTTCCAACTCTTTAATAAAGCAAAAATGTGAAAAGAAGATTCTCACTCTTTCCAGATCATTGTTCAGCTGCTTTAACATCACTTCCAGGCTGTAGAGCCGCCCGGACAGATCGTTGGGCACCTCGTCACTGGAAACAAAGCACAGAACAGATTAACAACGGCACACACTCTAAGAATAAAAACAGTGTGCAGACGTAATGTAGGCGGGTAGGAGGACAGGTTTTTCAGGTGTTTGTGAATGTGCATTCATTCTTGTGTAAGTCTGTTTGAACTGTAGCTCTTATATTAAGTGCTGCTCAATGGTAGGACACACACACACACACACACACACACCACACACACCACACACACACACACACACACACACCACCACACACACACACACACACACACACACACACACACACACACACCCACACACACACACAACACACACACACACACACACACAACACACACACACACACACACACACACACACACACACACACACACACACACACACACACACACACACACACACACACACACACACACACACACACACACACACACACACACACACACACACACACACACACACACACACACACACACACACACAGAAACTCATAAAACAAGTGTTTACTCAGGAGTCAACAAGCTGGGGATTCAGTTCAAAGCCTGACAGTAGATTACCACCAGATGGCAGCAGAGACACACAGCTGCTCTCTGGCTGCTCTTATCTACAACAAAGTGAGGTTCAGTTACCCGCTGAAGGTCGGCGTGGTCCGTGGAGTCTGAGGAGTCTGAAACTGGACTGGACTGACGACGGGTCTCATGTCCGGACCCCCACCCTGCGGCTCCGTCAGTGAGAAGAGGGAAACTGCTCTTTGTGCTGCAACAGACATAGAACCACACTTTGTAAAAAGCTGCATTGAAGAGGCTTTTTCCCCCCCAGGTTTCCCTCGGGGTACAAGACACAATCACAGCTCCTGGCAGCAGGTGAGGTTTAGGATCGAGTGTTGGCTTGAGCTTAGTGTGTTTGTCAGAGCTTTGTGGCTGCAGAGCACACCAGGGACAGGAGAGAGAGACAGAAACAAACAGTGGCTGGGACGGAGAGCGAGAGATCGTCTACAAGGTTAAGACCATCGTACTGACATCTCTTTCTTTCCCAGGAGTGTCATGTGACAGAAGACAAAATGTCCCACATCCAACAGTGAGCTTTATGCTTCTTAAACATCTTGTTCTTGCAAAATCATGGTTACAACTGAGCATTTATAATTTGTGGAGATTTCGATTTGTTTAAATCAGCATTAAAACCATGCATGAATTGTACATACAGGTTTTAATTATTCTTTTTGACATTTCTGATACCATATGTTTTAACAGTTTGTTTCCATGATTTCTCTGCATGTGTAATGTTTTGTTGTGCATGTTACAGTTTGTGTGTGATGTGAATGGATGCTTTTGTGAGTTGAACAAACCTAGTCTTGAGGTGTCTGCTGCCTCACCTTCGTACACCTTAGCAGCGTTAACCAGGCTGGACCACTCGAGGCCGCAGGCTGTGTCAGGGAGAGGCATCAGCCCGGGGTCCAGCCTCCTCAGGGGGGGCACTTTGTCTCTGACTTCAGTGAGAGACAGCTCCGAGGCAGACAGAGGCACTGAGGGGAGAACAGCTGCAGTGAGTGAAATAACCTCCTCATGAAACAAGGACATGCTGAAAGGTAGTGGAGCTTATGTAAGCAACAAATAACGTGTACATAACAATCATAATAGGATTGTTTTCACTATTAAGCTCCTTGTATCGCCACAGAATGAAACTTGGCAGCTTATACTCAACACAGCAGAGTAGGTTTTGTCCACTCTGTTTAAACTCACCCTTCTTGCTCTGCACGTGGTCGTTAGAGACGGCGTGTTTGCGTGTGGGCAGTGTGCACGTGAACAGGACGTCGTTAGGCGTCGTCGGGCTCTCCGAGTTAGCGAAGCTCGCCTCTCTGCGCCCGCTGCACAGAGACTCGTCTGAAAAGGTGCGCTGCAGAGTTCGTCTGGGAGACTGAAAGGAGGAAAAGTGACGGAGATCAGAGCGTGTGCAAGCTCATCAAAGTAACGTGCGCTTACAGATCACATCAAATATATGCATATAACTATGTCACATTTCAATTTGAACTGCTTCCCTCAGGAGGGCGCTTGAGACTCGCATAAGTCTACAATAATGTATTTGTCCATAGTGCATATCTATTAAATACAAAGTTAATCATACAGGACGACACAACAGCCTGTACTTTGTGTCATAAGCCTGTTGAACTGTATATAATTGCATGATTCAACTTTAAGCTCTCCCAATGTTTTTACTTATTTGTAAACTTATATTGATGGGGGAATTTGTACCTTGTGGACGATATAATTGTTCAAGCAAACTAAAGCATTACTGATCTAACTGTGAGGTGTTGGTGTGTTCCTCACTGGGTCTCTTTGGGGCGTCTCCCCCACGTTGTCCATGATGATCAGTTTCTTCAGGTCGTCTTCGATGGTGCTTTTGTACGTCCGTCGTGGAGAACGCAGGTCCCTCAGCGAGGCTCGGAGCCGAGGCTGTCCAAACACGTTCTTTGAGTTGGTGTCCACCTGCCTGAAGACACGAGACAAGAGACAAGAGACAAGAGACATGAGCCCCAAAAACGCAAAGGGTATCTTCTCCCAACATCTAACCGTTAACAGGTCAATGTTTCAGTAGCTGGTTTTAGGCTCAATTAGCACTGAAGACACTCAATACCATAATCTGGTATGATCAAATGTTGAATTAGAATTTGTAATATCATTATTTACATTGTGAAGCTTTTCGGTACAGTCCCTTTAACAGAAGAGGGAAAGGTTCTATTTTGAAGCTCAGATGCCCCTTTCACACCGGCGCTTTTCCAGCTCCTGCTGGGAGCTAGAGCCTGAAAAGCGCCGGTTTTTCCTGTTCACACCGCAGCGGCGGCGCGTCATAGCTCCGGAATGCGGTTCACTTCCAGCTCCAAAAAGTTGTCGGTCCAGAGGCAAGAGCTTTGGAGCTATGACGCGGCGTCGCTTACGTCGAGGCGTGCAGGAAACCTTACTTTGACCATCCGTTCGCTGTTATTGATCATTGTGGAGAGCAGGCAGACGTTTTGTTTGTTATTATAGCAGCTATCGGATGGAATTAATACATGGGCTGTACAGGTTGTCATAATGAAAAATACGCCGGTAAAATGTGCCTGTATAAAACGGCTTAGCAAGTAGTCAGTTTAACTTTGGTTGCTATGCTAACATCACCCATGTTATACCAGAGAAACTTTCATAACAGCGTTGTGATGCCAAACAGCGTCAATTCAGACTGACACACATTCACTTAAGGGGAACTGGGGATATGTATCAGCTGCTTGTGTGACAGTCAGACAGTGAATACTTTAGAGCCGTGTGAGCTAACCCGGAGCTAACGGGAGAATAAACTCCCGTGGAAGAGCAGCCAGCACTGCAGCGGTCGGTAAATGCCGCTGAAACACATTAATAAACAATGAACCACGGCACTCTGGAGAAAAGTATAAGGTTGGAGAAGTCGTTATTTAATTTAATCTGGCTTCGTATGATTAAAAGCAACACGATCGTCGACCCGACGTAGTCCCCGGCCCGTTGTTGTTGTGGGAGAAAATCTCTCGGCAGCTCTGGGTGGTGTGAACAGAGCGGGAGCTGAAAAGGGAAACCGGAGCTGAACCAGAAAAGCTCTCGCTAGGAGCTAGAAAGGGAAAAGCGCTGGTGTGAAAGCCGCATCAGTCAACAACTTACTTCTTGCTGCTGTCAGAGCTGGTCGTCGTGGTGATGTTTGAAGGCGAGGAGCCGTTGTCGTCGTTCTGCCAGGCGCTTTGTCTGCTCTTTCCATAAAAAGCCTTTGGAGCGGAGCTGGACAGAGGGATGGAGCTTAGATGAGATGAAGTTGGTGTCGTCGTAGCAGCGCGGACGGGCCGGACTTTCTCAGCTGTCGGAGTCTTGTAACCCTGCGGTGTGTAGGCCCTGAGAGGACACACAGGTGTACACCGGGTTAATGCATGACAATCAACAACAAACTGCTCTCTCTCTTTTTGAAATAGACGAGACAAGTGCTAAATAGGAAGTGAGAGGACACAAAGGATTTGACATGCGCAGCAAGTGTAGTACCAGAGGGAAAGCCTTTTCAGTTTGTTATGAAGTGATGAAACATTTTTATTTAAAGGGGACCTATCATGCAAAATGCACTTTTGTACGTCTTTTATACATGAATATGTGTCCCCGGTGTTCCAGGGAACTCACCAAGTGTCAGAAAACACAACCCTCTCTATTTTCCTCCATACCCAAATCTCTAAAAAAGGGGCTGCAACGGATCTGATAAAAACTGATCCAGATTTGAACACTGTCCTGACGTCAGGACAGTGGCGCTACGGCTATTGGGCCAACTCCACCAATCAGGAGGAGACAGCCACGGCCATTGCCGTTCGAAAGCGCTGGAGACGCTGTAGTACATATGCCAGGCCTGTAGATGGTGCTGTTCTGCCCTTACAAACACAGAGCTAAAAAATGTCAAATTGAGCGAAATGAGGCATGGCTAAAATGCATGATCTGTTTGGTATTTTGAAAAAAAAAAGTATAAATATGCCTTATATAGGTATGGTCCTACACTATATTATTCAAATATAGCATGATAGGTCCACTTTAAAGAACATTTTAAATTTCAAATAAGATGATTAGATCACAGAAATGATTGTGCAGGGAAAAACATTTTCTCCACAGAAGATATAACTCCATTGTTTAAATAATGCATTTTACAAGGTACGCGTCTCCCTGTTTCCAGTCTTAACGCTAAGCTCAGCTCTCCTCATTCAACTCTCGATAACAAGACGTCAAACTTTTCCTTTATAAAGACCTTTGTAACAATCATGTGATCCTCTGGCATGTAAGGTTGACACACATATCATTTAAAAAAGGATGAAAAAAACCGATTTTAAGTTTGACTTTTCTGCTGTCTTTTGTCTTTCCCCATAAGCATAATTTATTCTCGGAGCATCTTCCTTTCCCTCTCTTTATTGATCCGGCAATAAAGACAGAGTGTGCAATTAAAGTTGAGGTAGCACTGTCTGCTTAACAACAGCATCACACAGCTATAGACCGGTAACAGCTGAGGAAAACATCAGAAGAGTTAAGAACGTCCATCATCCATCAAGAGACCAGACGTGTCTTTTATCCATCAAACCAATTCTTCACCATTTAAAAACACACAACCAACATTTCTAAAACAAACTGCTAAATTACCCAACTGAATTATTCATCATTTAGAAAGGCCGCCTTGCTTTTGAAACCTTCTGACCAAAACAAAACATCAACTGACAACACCATCTGTAAAATTGTTCACGATACCTGTGATGAATCATCAGTGTCCTTCTGTTTTTACTTAATATCTATATTTTGTTGATGTTTCAAAACATCCCAGGCGCAGACTGCAGCATCAGAGTCGGTTGTACTCAGGCTTTAAACACAGATTGTTTTAATCCTACACAGAGAGGACGAAGCCTTTGAACGCATGTGTGTCTTATGTCTGCATGCATTTATAATGTTGGGGGAAGGAAGAGCAGAAGGGATCACATGATGCAGCTGTATGTTCCACCAGGATTAAGCTGCTTTAAATCCTTAATGTACCCTTTAAAGATTGAGTCATCATACTATTGTGGTGGCACATAATGGCTGCTTCATTCATTTAATTCTTAAAGCTTAGTACTCACATTCTCAATTAAGATGAACAGCATTAAAGGTTAAGGTATCATGTTAGAAAAATGCCATAAAAGATGTGTCAGAGTCGGCCACTCACCTGGGTTTGAAAGCATCCATTTTTTCAGCGCTGGATCCAGGAGGCGGGAACGTCCTGGTCCGGTACCCTTTGTTCTGATTGGCTGCAGCTGGTATGATGGGAGACGACTCCCGCCTCCTCCCCTCCCCGCTGCTGCCGCTGCTCCTCCCCACCGACAGCTCCTGCCCCCCCCCGTACGTCCCGAAGCACTGCAGGGGCTTGTGGCTGTTGGGCATGTTCACGAGGCGAGTGTTGTTGTAATGGGTCGAGGCGTCGATGCCGCTGTCGTTGGACCCCCCCTTGTTGAGATGGTCTGGGTCAGGTTCTGTTGGGTCGCCAAGGCAACCCCCAGGACCCCGTTCACCTGCAGGTCCCCCGTCGAACCAGCGCTCGTCGCTGTGTCCGCTGGAGGCGTTGCTGGACAGAGTGTTGCTGCTGGAGTGGCTCGAGTACTGAGTCTCGCCCTGTAGAGGACAAGAGAGAAACATTCAGAGACACTCAGGCAGGCAAGGAGAGAAGAAATGAGAGCGGGAGGTGTTGAGTCTGACCTTGGAGTTTCTGTTTGGAGAGTCCTTCCCCGGGACATCCTGTCTGGTTGGTCTCCTCTGCCCCCCTCCACCACCCGGCCCCCGAGACGACGACGCTGGGATGTGCCAGAGGGGCTCTAGACAGAAACACACAGACACTCAGAGGATTAAAGCAAATTACACTGAACCGCCATGGTTGGATAAGAGGATTAAATATTTATAGCACATTTAAACACTGACCACCAACACACCCAATCACACCGTCATCTCTACTCGGTTATCTACTCTGTGTACTGATAACAATAATATTTAAACAATTGAATACTGATATCTTGGTAATGCACTTTGATATAGTGTATACAAATAATCCAACACCTCTTAAGTACATTTGTTTTTACTTTCTATTCTCACCATGTCACCATCCCACATACAAGTGAGTGTAATTCATTTGCAAAGATAAAACGTACAATAAATGTAGTTAAAGTCAAGTATGGTTAACTTGCAACCTGTGTTTACATTTCTTGGCCACAGCCAACAGTTGCCAGCAAATTTGGAGCAACTTTATCAGTGATTAGTCTTGTTTTGGCCACCTGATGAATGCAAGTCTAAAATGATTCAATCTCTTTTAGCTCAGTTTTTGGTCTCTACCAACTCCTAGAAATGATCTTCTTCACTATGTCAACCAGCTAGTCAGCTTTCCTGTCTGCTGTTAGTTAGTGTTTCAGAGCTATTCCGCTAAAATACATCAGGCTGCTGAGGTCGACAACGGATAATACCTGAAAGTGCATCAAAGGGACAATATTGCAGCCTAACAAAAATAAAACCAAAGAGCAAAAGAAGGCTAACGCTCTAAAAAGCGGAGTCATGTGATGGCAGATGTTTTGCACAGTAATTGCCTGGTGTTTTTAAAGGTGGTGTACCTGTTTTGCAGCGCTCCATAGTGCTCTCCTGACTGGTAAAGCCTGAGGAAGACTCTCCGCTGGAGGTGACGTCCACACTGAGGTGAGGCTCATACGGCAGCAGGGGGCGTTGTCCTGGTCCATATCTACACATCATATAGGATCATAAGAGGAGGGAGGGCATTTGATTAATAAACACGTCATGCTAATATGATTTACATGCAACTACTGACAAATGTGAGTTAATTAGATGTATACATGCAGTAGTTTTATGTCCTGTACGCACGCACACAGACGGAAGGAAATATGTTCCTAACTGAAACTAAAACACACTACAATTATTCTCTTAAGAAAGCCCTTAAAATGTAGAGCTTGGATTTGAATTTCAGTTTCTGTTTTGCATCCTGATGGCAGTTGAATAAAACACATTTCTCCGGTTGGGTGAGATGTTATCTGCCTCCACACAGTGAGGAAGAGCCGCCCACACAACAGATCCTTCCTCAGGGAGACAGTGTGTTCGTACACGTCTAACTGCAGATCTGAACACATTACTCTGCCTCATCTCATGAACACAGATAATCCACCCCGAAGCACACAAAACTGTTGTAATGAGTAATATCGGACATGTTTAGTCAAGATTACAGGAGCAACGGCAGGGAGGTCTGAAAACAAAAGGCCACACACCTGTCGGGGGAGGGTTTGTAGCGTACGAAGGGGCCCGGTGTGATTCCAGGCGGCCCCATCGAGGAGAGGCCGACCAGGCCGGAGGAGGGCGAGGAGAAGCTGGCTGAGGGGTTCCTGTAGGGCAGCATCCCTGCAGGAGACAGGCTGTAGTGGTTCTCTGGGTAGCTCACTGGCCTGCAGGAGAGAGAGAGGGGGGGGAGAGAGAGGGGGAGACGGTAACCAACAGAACAACAGAGAGACCACAGAGAGGGGAGGATGTTACTAGAACACATGAAGCTATTTTGCTAGATTGAGTTATAAAATGCTACAGCCACCAAATTCTTAAATATTTAGTTTTAGAGGATCACCCAAGTTACGTTACAAACCTATTTTAATAAAAATCAGCAAACTGTTTTGCTCCTTTTAATATACATATTGGTTAGAGTACATCAGGTTACTATCAATTATCATTACCAGATAACCCAGATAAATAAATTAAAGATATTGATGCTGCCACACCAAGTCGTACCCCTTATCTCTTTCAACAGATGTTCTGCCTTTCTCCTTTATCACATTGCCCCAAAAGGATTTCACAGCAAATAAAAAATAACCCAATTGGGTCTTTTAAGTAATCTAATGATACTAAATACATTGTGCACCGTCATTCTGAGTCTCACCTCTTAGAGTTTAGGTGCTGGGGCTCCCTGTAGGGAACAGGCATCAGGGTCTTGTGTGAGCGGGGCAGTGGAGGAGGTGGGGGGCCCATGGGGGCCCAGCGCTGCTGGTTGGGGGCACTGTGGAGCCCTGGAGGAATGGGGGGGCTGTCCCATCGCCACGTGGGGCGAGGGGAGGGTCTGTAGCCGGCTGCCAGAGGCTCAGGTTCTGGCTTCTGCTCCATGGTCTTCATCTCATACTCCTCTGTGCAGCCCCTGAGGAGACACACCACAAGGGATCAGACACTCAAACATCCTCACCTTTCCACCATGATTTTGATCAGCTCAGTAAAAAGCAGCAGCATCCTTTCTGCAGCTTTATTAATCAACTCTGTGGACTCCAGCCTGATACCCAACCTAAATATGTTTTACTCATCATTATTTCATTCACACAGCAACTGACAAGCGGGCATAAGGCATCAAATATGCATAGAGGATGTATTTAAGATGAGAGGCCAAAAGAAGGGGGGAAAAGGGGAGGAGAGAGAGAAGGGCAGCCATGTGCCGAACATTTTTTATGATATTCATTGCAATTTTGAAAGAGTCCAAGGAACTGTCTATATTACAATTATTTTGACCAGTGGCTAAAATATATTCCTTTACTGTAATAAGAAAGAAACAAAAAAATTATGATTTTTGAGTCTAAAACATTTTTGCTTAAGGCTGACTTAAATAATTTGAACTAGGAATACTTGTTGTTGTCCTATCCAGTATGAATGTCTTTGTTCTTCAGGCTTTTGCTTTCTTTACAAAAAAGGTCTTTATTCTTTCATAGTTTTGCATTTCATTTGCATGTTTTAATGAAGCGGCAAAGCGCCAACAACTGCAGTTCCGGAAATGGCCACTTGAGGCTGGCTCCAAAACGATCATGTTAAAATGCTCCACTTTACAGCCTGGTGCAAAAAATAGTTTTTTTCTAATTTGGCCTTGCTAAAACGCTAATCATGACAATTGCACAGCAGTATTTATAATTATTACCTGTTTAATTATATTAATGTGTATGAGTTAAGAGATACAGGTGGGTTCTGTCAAGTGGCTAGCTATAAGCCAAATAACAGCAACAAATTGTAAGCGGCATTTTCTTTACCAGAAAATATTTCCAAATAAATTGTACATTGTGAACAGTTTGAAATATTCTGAATAATGTCGTTTTTTTTAAGGATAAGTAAAAATACACAAAATAACACTTTTTCTAGGCTATAACTATAATAAATCAATCATTTCGATTTAATTCACCTCAATTGTGTTGCTGAGACTAACAGATAAAAAAACACCCAAACTAGCTAAATAGATACCAGCAGAAGTAAGAAGATATATTTTCTTTAGTGTGCAGCCTAGATTAATCGTAGAGCCTGGACACAATAAACCGTCCATCTGCTCTGTCACAAGACTGTCAAACATCTAACATAAACTGTAGAGAGATAAAAGAACAGACACCTATACATCTGTAGAAAATAACAATAGTAGTAGAGAACAAAGAATAATGGCAGTACCAAAAACAATACCCGAATCAATATCCATGAACACAACACGTGGTCAGGAGGCTTTGATCAATCAAGAAATACTACCAATACATATCCATACAGAAACATAGCAGTAGCACAAACCTTAGCGAGAGCAGAGCCTACAAATGTCTTCCATCACAGCAGCGGAGGCGACAGCTGCACACGTGGTCGAACACTACAACATCACGCCTTTCCCCCTCTGTACCCCTCCGTCTTGCATGAGCACGGCGGCGAGTCAGAGCGTAAAAGGAAAAACACTTCCAACTCCGCTTTCTCTTTCTTTCTCTCCTCCACCCACCTCGCTCCTCAGCGAGCGCTCCTCTGTCTCTCCAGCTCAATAAAGCCTGCCTCTCTCTCTCTCTCTCTCTCTCTCTCTCTCTCTCTCCTTTCTCCCCCTTTCACTCGCTCAGTGCATTCATTTTTAATTAATCACTTCCACTCAGTTATATATTTATTTATTTTTGTGGTCTCCTTTTTTTCTCCTGCAGATTCCAGGCCTTAATCTCATGCAATCTGCTTGCCTGGCACACATTGGCAAACGAGTCCAAGAGAGAAAGAGGGGGGGGGGGGAGGGGGGGTGAAATGCAAGACTCTAATTATCAGCTGCTACTTGAGAGAGAGTGTGTATGTGTGTGTGTCAAAGGGATTTTACTTGGTGTAATTAAACTGCCTCCAACATTAAATATACTAACCACTGTGCAATCACACAACCAGCCACAATGACTGCACGCACACACACACACACACACACACACACACACACACACACACACACACACACACACACACACACACACACACACACACACACACACACACACACACACACACACACACACACACACACACACACACACACACACACACACACACACACACACACACACACACACACACACACACACACACACACACACACACACACACACACACACACACACACACACACACACACGTTATGTAGCACCACATCAGCGTCTCATAAGGCCTCGTTATTCTGTCTTTGTCAAGGCCGTGTGTGTAGATGAAAGGTTGGAAAAGCATGACGGCAGGGGAAAGAAATAGATGGTGGGAGGAGGGGAAGTGAGGCGATAGTAAGCTGAGCGAGTCGAGGATATAAAGGATGGGGAAACAAAGAAAGGCAGATTTTTTGATAATTCCCATAAAATTAAAACGCTTCTTTCTTTTTTCTCTAAATGCTTCATTCCGCCTTTTTCCTCTCAAACCACACATCGTTCTTTCTCTCTGTTCGCTCGCTTCCTCTTTTCACACACTCCCACACAAAATCCTCTCTGAGCATTGGAGTCTGGCCCCTTCCATGCTTTTGTGTGTTTGAGTGAAGAGCGTCCTGCTCTCTCTCTCTCGCTCTCACTTTCTCTCTCTCTCGCTCTTATCCTTCCACTACTGCCTGCTAACACTCTGCTGCAGCCTACAGCCTTAACATCTGTATTCACCAGAGCTTTTTAAAAACCTCATTAGTTCATCTTCAAAGATATTTCTACACACCTGCGAGGCCCCCCCTCTTCGTACGGAGGAATGATGACGACTTTGACCGTGACCGAGGTCCTCAGCAGGTCGATCATCTGCTCGTGAGTCAGCGTCACCGCGGCCACCTTGCAGATCTCCACCAAGCGGCTGCCCTGCCTCAGCCCCGCCTGCCACGCAAAGCCATACTCCTCCACCTGCAGCAGATAAAACACCAACAACAAGGTCAAGGCAAAACAGGCAAATTATGAACAGCCAAGATTCTTTGTAAGTGAAAAGTCAAGATCTTGTGTGGTGGTCATCTGGCCGTACCTCAGCCACAGTGCCGTCCAGGCGCACATGGAAGCCCAGCTGTCCCAGTCCGTTTCTTCTCAGAGTCATATCCACCGTCTCACATCCCACCGTCAACGACTGGCCAGGGACAGGACAGAATTAGAATAAATAAATATTAGATTTACAGAATGATCATGTCCTTATGTCTCTAAGTGTTCCAAAACAAAGGAAACATCATAAAATTACATCTTAGAAGGATTTTCACAATATGAAATGCTTCTTATCAGCTAGAGAACGTAATTACAACGTCATTAAAAAGTGAGTTCATCTATGAGTAATCTATTAGGACTGTATTATACTTTTGAAGATGACAAGCAACCCTGCCTATTTCTAGTGATCCCTTTCACAGCGGCTTTTGTTAATAATCCTGAATTTCCAGCATGCTTAGGAGTGTTTTCAAAGAAAAACAAAAACAGAACAGAGGTGTAAAAACTGAAAAGATTCCACCAATGTTCAAGTTAAAACTGTAAAGAATCACATATTAACAAAATCAGACACTTGATAGAGAATAATAATGGTGTTTTTTGTGCTGTGGGGACAACATTTGAGTCCTGATTATTTAAATTACCTTTAAATTACCCTTAATTTAAGGTTACCAAACAAAGGATGTTTACTGTACCTTAATTCACAAGCATAGGTCAAGAAATGAGGAAATGGGAAACAGGAGGATGCAATATATTTAAAATGTGTTAAGCCATTTATTTTTAAGGACGCAAATGAATTCTAAACTAAACTTCTAAACTTTAGGCCTCCATGGAACACAGTGTTTCTGGATGATAAAATATAACTTTGTTTGTTTAGATACTAACACAAACTACAGTCCCAACTCAACAAAAGCTATATGTCTTAACCAAAAAATATGTTTTCTCACCTTTAACCTCTGCACCACCTCCCGGATGTCCTGTGCAAACCCCTCCGGCACGCGCACGGCGATGTGGTCTCCTCGCCCGTAGAAGATCTTCAGCGTCAGCCGCTCCGGACTCCAGCCGATGACGTCCGCACAGAAACAGTTAAACACCACCTCTTTAGTGGAGCAGTCTGTCAGGAGGACGTATTCAGCCGACAGACCCAGGGCACAGGGCAGCTCCGTCCCCCCCCCGCTGAAGTCCTGAGCGTGGACCCTCCAGGCGATGGCCCCTGCGGCCCCTAGCTCCGCCCCCTCTCTCGCCTTGGAGCGCTCACGTTTCTTAGATGCGAGGGAGATGAGGTTGTTGAGCTTGCCGGCGGTGTCGAGCGGCGTGCTGCTGACGTAGTTCTCCGCCAGGTCTCTCAGGTACTCCTGCCGCGTTCGGGTCGCCATGGTGTGGAACTTGTCCGACTTGTGCGCTGCGGTTTCTGCATTGATAACTTTGGCTAGAAGGAAGTTACGAAAGGTTTCTGGATCGCGGAAGGTGACGCCGCTGGGGATGGGGGGGCCGAAGGGAGGCACGTCTTTCATTCTCGTCACAGCAGCACTGAAGGGAAAAGGGACACAGGTTTGAATTGTGACAAACTGTCATTTTAAAGATGTCATTTCATTTCAAACCTTATACCCGTATATGAACTAGGGCTAAAACTGAAGAATGTTTTTATTAGTTATTAACACGCCCTTTAATAGTTTGGTCTATAAATGCTAGAATTGAGAAAAATGTCCATCACAGTTTCTCAAAGTTCCTCATTTATTATTGTCATTTTCTGTCATACTCTGTAAAGCACTTTGGGCTGCGTCAAGCATGAAAGGTGCTATATAAATAAAGTTTATTATTATTAGTATTATTGTTTTGTCAGACCCAAAACCCACATCAATTATTTTTGATATGATATAAAACACAAAAAAACACAAAAACTCTCCATGATTAGGAGACTGAAATCCGCCCTTAACTATAACTTTAACAGCAAATAGTTTTCAGTTTAGTAACTAATCCTTCATTGGACTAATTGTAACATCCAGAATATAAACACGTGCTGGTTCTGTTGACAACATTTACCTGTAACAGGTGCTTTCAGAGCAGGGGTTGTGCACACGGACAATCACAAAGACGTGCTGGAAGTGGGAGCGGATGTTCTGCGGGGTGAAAGGCAACGCTCCTGGCTCCTGGAAGATTATGGTGACAATGTCGTTTCCTATGTGCCTCTTCCTCAGGAGCTAAGGAAGAAGAGAAGAGAGAACAAAAAAGTACTAATTAATGAAATGAGCTAACATGACTGACATTGACACAAGCGACTCATTCAACGATAGAGTCAAGGGAAATGAGAGATTAAGACGCTCAACACCAACAACAGCTCTTTATGTAATTTGTTTTTCGGATTCTGTGCGGGCTATTTGTGTCTGTGTTAGCTTGTCCGTCTATCTGTGTTCGTGTAAGAGGCACAGAGTGCAGGCTGTGTCTGTGGAGCTGTGCTTGCCAATCCTCTCCTCATCAGCAGAGGGAAGTGTGAAAATACCAATTATGTAATCCTGCCCACCATTTGGCCTCAAATACACACATTCTCCAGCACGGTGCCACAGGAGCATCCATCACTCATACTGAGACTGGGAGTTGTGCTCAATGTCGTTACAAACATGAACTGTTATTGCTGGAATGCATTTGCTTTTAGTTTGTTTTTCTATTTCAGCATCAAGTCGGAATACAACTAGTCAAATGGTATTAGCTGAACATTTCATCATATACAAGATGGGTGTGCAGGCTGTGCTTGCGTTCTTCTTTCCCTCTCGTGAATTTAAAAAGCCACAGTATTTATATTCTTAATTCAACCCGTACGCCTCCGTTTATCTACTGCAAGTCATTTTAATATCAGATGCTGCCACCTACAGGCTCATCTGATAAAGTAAAACTCCTCTCTGCTGCAGCCCCCCAACCTCTGGATGGAGATATTGTGCCATTTATAAAACTGCACTTTCTGGTTTGTAGCCTTTATTTAACCAGGTTAAAAAATCCCATTGAGATCAACGATCTCTTTTTCAAGGGAGACCTGCGGTACATTGATTGGTTTAAGAGTTGGAAGTAATGTGAACTGTGCAAACACCTTTAATCGACTTCATTCAAAATGTAGAACCCTCACATTACTCGTTTACTCAAAATGTACAAGATGTTCAACTGGATGATGGAAATGGTTATAGGAAACAATAGATTGCTGTGGGCATGGTAATAAAGTATATCAAAATATAAAAAGGCATTTTAACTTCTCCATAGCCTTCACCACGGACACATTGTACAGTAATCCTTACACTCACAAGGCCTGTCTGAACACATGTTTCTACCCGTGTGAGCCTCTCACGCAAACACTCATGCAAACTATAAAAGATAGCCACACGCAAATGTTATGTTACACACAGGTCACTGACACTCATAGTCCAGGCTGAAAAGCACCCAGGAGAACACTTATGAAAGCAGCTTTATTTAAAGAAGTGAAAAGAAAAGAGGGAGAACATAAAAACTCTTCACTACTGAACCCCGCCCTGTTCGGATCCCGTTAAAGAACGAGAGGCAGAGTGAGAGAGGCCAAGATATAAAAGCCAGCGCGTAAGAGAGGACAGAAAAGAACAAAAACTATAAAAACGGGAGAGGCTTAATGAAAGAGGGAGAAAGAGACTCTAAATGAAGATGGTGACACAAGTCACAAGTTTTCACTTTATGAATTCTTGCTGTTGGTTTACGACAGAAGAGGCTGTAACGAACAACCATGGACAGCCACCGGTTGAAAAGAAAAGGAAAGTGGTGGTTTAATTTTCGAGCTGTACGCATCAAAACATGGTCTGAGTGGACAACCAAAGCTCTTACCTGCTGTGGGTTGTTGGGCATGTAGGGCAGCATGGTGGACACGTGGAACATGACCTCGTAGCCTTGGTAGGTGGTGTACAGCGAGTGGGTGCCCGTAGAGTCCGCTGGGGAAAGAAATGTTCATGTTTCATGTCAGACATCATACTACAGATGAGTCCAAACACTTTATGGTTCAAACAGATGTTTTTCTAGGGATCAAAAGATTTCAAAGACTGGCATTGTAATTAAACTGGGAGCAGGACACTTGCATAGAAGACATAAAAGAAATAACGTTGCTGGCTTCTTCCATCTTATACAAGTAATGGAATCTCTACTATTGGTGTCGTCTATGGAAATGTTCCGTGCGGCTTTCTTCAGACATAAAAGGACTGTTCTTTCTGTGGTTACAACGAACCACAATGCTTGTGGAAGAACAACCAACAGCTTGGGGCCTCTGCTCTCTTTAGTGAATCTCCTCATACATTGGTAGAGAATGGAGCTGCCTATATTATAATGCTTGACAGTGAACAAGCTAAACACAGTATGATGAGACATTCTTATGTCTATCATGTATTTTGTATTTGCTCAAATGTCTTATCTTAAGCACTTTGCTGTATATTTACTACATGGATGAAAGTAAAAAAAAAAGGGGGGATAGAAAATGGGCTTGTTCATGTTGTTTCATTATCAACTTAAAAGATACAAATGATCTAAGAGATGGTAGTTCAATAAGAAATCAATTACAGTGACATGGTGAATATATTTAACCTTGTGCTCCTGCAGCCGTCAATACAACAGCATTTAATTAAAAAAGTTAATTAAATTACGCCACTTTTTTACTTTCTTCTTAATTATTCCTAACCCTATATTATTTTTATTTCCTTTTGTAAAGTGAGAAAGTAAGATTGACAGATTGCCCTTTTCTTTTTTTTTTTAAAACAACTCGGGTGTCTAATGACCAACATGGGAATTAAAACCCCTAATGTATGGGACGTAGAGCATGAACGGGGCTCTCATGCAGACTCACTCTTTGTGTCGAGCTGTGCTGCGTATTTGCTGAAGTCTTTGAGGAGCACCTGCTCCCCCAGCAGCTCCAGGAAGGCAGAGAAGGCGGGCGACGCCTCCTCGTTGTTGTACATCTCCTCCTCTGTGCTCTGGCCCGCTCGGCACAGCAGAACACCCACCTTGTGCTTCTGACTCAACTACAGGAAGGAGATACAATTACCATCACACAAACAAACAGCTGGACCGCTGCAGTGTGAACATCTGACATGCTTCTAATGCAACTTACGTAAGATTTATTTCTGGATACACTAGAACACTGAGTACCACTTTATCGTTTACACCCTGACAAATAAAAACAAGCTGATAGCCGGGCAGAAATACCTCCACCTTGCACTTCAGCCTCCATTATAGAAAAGGTGAGATAACATGGTTAAACATTAAAGCTTTTAGGGTTACACACTCACGCTCAAACATATTACGCCCTGCTCCACTCAGCTTTTGCTGCTGATTTCATACTTTGCACCAACGCTTAATCAGTGATACAGATTTCAGACCCTTTTATACAACTTATCTGAGCATACCATAAGCCACTGTGTCATATGTTTTCCTTTGCTGTCATTTAAGCCAGTCTGACTTAGTGTTTGTTTAATGAAAGCCGTTTCAACCTTCAAGTTTTATCACACAAGCTTAGCAATCAGTGGCAAGTACAGACACATAACCCACCCCCTGTTCGTCCAGTTTAAGGAGCTGCTCGGTGACTTTGGGTGTGCTGAGCGCCAGCCTCAGACAGGAGATGTTGAGCTCCGGGACCACCTGCTCCAGGACGTCCTTGAGCGACAGACCCCGCACTGTGCCGTGCTTCCCCGTTGTCGCCACCGAATCCTCTAAAATGGAGCCTCGCAGGGTCACAAGCTGAATGAAGGGAAAGAAAATAAAAATACATTTGCCTTTACTATTTACCTCTTTCCTGTCTTAGGAACAGAATGCATGCTGGACCCACTTACTTATTAACAACACTTTTCCCACTTTATTCTTCAATCATTTTTTAAGTATAAATAGTTTGCTTGGTAGCATACTTTTTTTTAACATATTATGTATTCGTTTTTATTTCTTTTTTGTTTTCTTTGTTGGTATGGGTAAACAGGCTTCTTGTTTTGTGTATATATTTTTGTTTTACATGTATTTTCTACTATTATTATACATTTGTGTCAATTATGACCAGCTATGTTTTCTGTGTTCTACTTCTAAAACACAAGATAGGTAGGGTAAAAAAGAAAAGAAATAACAGGTAGGACTGAGAAAGCGTGGACAAATAGAAACACAGGAGAACATTTGTAGAAATGTTATTGAAACAAAGATAGGGGGTCAGAGGTCAGGCTCAACTACAGAACAACGCCTCTGGAAAATGGATGATAAGCAGCCTGAAGAGGGTAGCCCGAAGAGGGTCCATCAGATGAGGGATGGTCCCACTTCTCATAATAGTTGTCTGCTGCCTTGAAGCTACACTCTTTGTCTCTGTCCGAGACACATTCATATTCTGCTCAGTGTTGCGCTGCCACAGAGCACGGCTCCCTCGTGAGAGCATTGACCTGCTTCAAAACAGTGATGCTGTAATCACACACACACACACACACACACACACACACAACCACACACACACACACACACACACACACACACACACACACACACACACACACACACACACACACACCACACAACACACACACACACACACACACACACACACACACACACACACACACACACACACACACACACACACACACACCACACACACACACACACACACACACACACACACACACCACACACAACACACACACACACACACACACACACACACACACACACACACACACACACACACACACACACACACACACACACACACACACACACACACACACACACACACACACACACAGGGCTGGCCGGAGACAGTTGAGCCTCAGAGACTCAGAGTGCCGCAGAGAAATAAAACCTGATTGACGTGCGTCTAAAGTTATGGAGCTTTCGTTTCAGCTCGTCGGCTTCTGAGCGACAGCGGGTGAGTGACCGCTGAGCGAGCTGCGTGTATAAATGTGTGATGGAGTCAGAAAGAAGAAGTCCATCCACCTTGCTGCGTCAGCACTGCTGCACAGAATTGAATGACAGACTTGGGGGAAAGGATATTTGAGAGCAGCTGCTGCTACAGAGAATAAAGTCTGCAATCAATCTCCTTTTTCCTCTGTGTGGGAACAGTAGGCGCTGGTGAGCTGGCTGGGTCTGTTAGCTCTGCTCTGTGTACTTAGGTGGCGGAGAAGTTCCATTGTTGTGCGAGAGCTAAGGTGATGAGGCCAGGCAGCCATGTAATCCAGCTAAAACAACACAGAGCCAGAGGAAGACCACTACATGAACCAGAAGCTAACTTTGCTGTGTGTTTGAGGGACTTTGCTACACAGGTGTTTATCATTTATAAAGAAAGGCAAACAAAATATCAAAACAGATCCCTCTAATACCATCCATAACAAGAAAAGAGAAAAAAGATTAATTGATTACACTAGGGGCAGCAACTATAGAATATTTTCATTGCATATTAATTGAGTATCTATTTGGATGTGTCGATAAGTAGTTTTGGTTTAAATAAATGGCAAAAAAAGTTAATGGAAGTAAACCAGAGAACTTAGATGTTTTTAAAGGCATCCTGTACCTTATACCAGGAAGTAGAGGCAACCATTTTTGCCTAGTTATGTTCCGTCAGTAGTAATAATCATATGGCATATTGATTCCACAAATCAACCCCAAAAGAGCTGAATCAAGACTTGGTGCTCTGGGAGTAAGAGTGAAGTAAATAAAGATTTGTTTATAGCCTTCAGACATCTTTGAGTGAGATTCTTAGTTCATTCTCCATGATCACTAGCCTCTTACTTAATACATTATGAGTATTTGAGCCATCAAAAAGGGAATAGTGGCAGTGTGTTCTCAATGCAGCCAAACTCTTTAGCCACAGCAGCCGGTGTTTGGTTTGGCTTTGCTGCACTGAGACTGGGCAGGTGGAATTTTCCACTGGCAGAGCCGAGAGCGGGGGTGAGGGGGTGAAGGGGGGGAGGTTAAAACAAGGGCAGAGAGGGTAGGGAGAGCTACAGGTAGGAACACAAAGGGAGGTAAAGGAAAGTAGGTAATTAACTTGAGTGTGCACACTCATACTGACTCATCAATGTCTCATCACTCTGAAATCTTCAAAACAAACACACGGAGATCTTCATACCTCGCTGGTTCTGACGATGATGCGGTACTGGTACTGGTCTTTCAGGTCTTTGGTGTCATCCAATTTCTCCCTGCGGATGCTCACAGCCACGGCGCCCATCTTATCGTCTGCCCCAAAGTAGTTTGAATGCTCTGGTGAAGGACAAGGAGAGATGGTAAGCAACTTTTGCAAAAATACCAAAATGTACACGTTTTAGCTTCTAAATGTGAATATTTACTGGTTTTATCACTCTTTGAAAACAGTAAACTGAAAGGGTTTTAGACTGTATGTTTAACAAAACAAAACAATTAAATATGTCAACGTTTTACCAAAAATAGCATACATTTTTGTATGAACCAAAGAATGGGTGAAACACATGATAAACATATCCACATTCTCCAATGATAAACTATCCATGATAAACTAATATTTTGATTACATAATTTAAATAGATTATCTAGGGCAGCTGATCATCAACTCGGTCTTTTATTTGTTTACTATTTTCTGACATTTAGAGACCAAAAATGAATCATCCACAAAACCATTGTTTTCATCTAAAACAATGGTTTTTCTAAAAATATTTACGTGGTGCTTAAAAAACAGCTTTACAAAAACATATGATTTAAATATTTAAGAGCACTTAACCTTAAAGAGATAGAAAAAAGAAGAGTTTTAGAGAGAGAGGTTGGCAGGAAACATCAGAGGGTGTGTGTAGCAGGACAGGACTTAGACAATGACATCTAGTAATCAATACCTATGTAATTGAACAATCCATTCTAGTTACCAGGAGAAATGATAATTGCTACTTAAGAAAGGTGAAGACGAAATGGTGTGTGGTTACAGAAATGCTGGAAATGTTTCTGATGTAGATGTGCAGGAGCTTAACGTTAATGAAATACAATTAAAATGTGTATTTAACAATAAGGCTCTAAAGAAACAAATATTTCCTCCAGTGTCATAAGTCGCCAATTAACATTCTGTGGCGTGTTTCCCGTGTTGGCACACAACATATTTATTCATTAAGAGGCTGAAACAAAGCTATCAGCGCACTTCACGAGCATCTTGCATGTCCTCTAAAGCTCCAAAGCTAAGCCGGGGATATGCCAACGCCGCAGGCAGTGTGGGAGTCGAAAGGCAAATACTGCAGACACTCAGGGAGACATCTAGCTTGACAAGTATTCCTCCTCTATCCCCCGTCTTACTGGAATGAACCAGTACACGGTCGGAGACTCAGGCCTGCTTAGCTCTCATGCCATGTGGTGGAAATGTCAGCTTTTTGATGAGGCTTTCTGACACAGCACATGAAAGAACACACACACACACACACACACACACACACACACACACACACACACACACACACACACACACACACACACACACACACACACACACACACACACACACACACACACACACACACACACACACACACACACACACACACACACACACACACACACACACACACACACACACACACACAACTACACAACACACACACACACACACACACTACACACACACACAACCACACACACACAACACACACACACACACAACCACACACACACACACACACACACACAACACACACACACACACACACACACACACACACACACACACACACACGTTGTGGGGGACAGCTTAGTATGAACCGAGTCAGCAGATGAACATATTTTTGGAATGATAACCTTTATCTGTGTGGCTGCAGGCCTGTCTCACACACGCTTGCTTGCACACATGTGCTCCTCACAGCATCTGTCACTAATTAGGGTGCAGCAGATGATGCTTGCCAAGAGGAAGTTCCATCCGCAGCGTCTGAAAAGGTGATGTTGACAAGAAGTGCCCACAAAGAAGCGGCCGTACAAAGAATTGGGCACACATCACACACACACCTTTCCTCTCTGGAAGTTATGTGTTACTTCTGACACTGAAAACCACATGTAAAACAAAGTCGACCAGGTTAAATGCCAGAGAACGTGAGGGCAAGAGAGACAGGTGAGGTATCATCAACAGTCCAGTTGCAGGTACATGTGTAATCAATTCTGGGAGCGTTGCCAGGTTGGCCCACGCTCCTCTGCTCACTCAGGCCCAGCTGGATGTTAACAGCTGCAGGAGGAGATGTGGGGAATGACACCGAGAAACAACCTCTACACTGTCTAATTCCAACGGTCCAATAAAAATGAGGGGCACAAATCAGAGTAGAAAACGGGATTTATATACAGCAGAGGCACTAAAATAACCCTGGCGATAATTTTTCATTATGATTCAAGCTGCCAATGACTAATACACAGAGCTCCCAGGTCTCTATAAATTGCTGGTATATATTTTTTATTTGTTTTGTTTATTTAACTAATATTTTAGTGTATAACATTTCTGAAAATAGTGAAAATCTTCATCATCTCAGAGCCCAAGGAAACGTCCAGATGGCTCATTCATCTCTAGGTTACTCGTTGCATGGGATTGATTTATACTACTTGTCCTAATGGCTTTTTATGTTTTAGGAAAAGAGTTGAGTTGCTTTCTTTGGAAAGGTGTAATGAAAAGTGAACTTGTCCTTGTTGAGAATGAATGCTGTTCATTCCTATTACTATTTACTTCTAATAAAATAACACATGTATAACAGCTAGCACAGTTAAACAAAATGTATAATCAGTTTTACACTCAGGGATTTTGATTCTTGTGATCAGCTTGCATCAACAATCAATGAATATGAATTGCTATTATTTGCGTTATAGATGATGTTTATCAGTGTTACCTTTCCCATGGAAGTAGTCTCTGTAGTACCGGGCCCCCAGGTCTACATGCTCGATGCCGTACAGTTTCAGTCTGTCCAGCCTGGTCACCTGCTGTTCAATAGGCACCTCGAGCACCGACAAGCTGGCGTTGCTCCTCCTCAGCCAGCCCCTCCCCCCGTCTCCTCCTCTGTCCCGCTCTGCTGAGGAGCTCAGGAAGCTGATGTTGCGCTCCCCGTGGCCCCCGGTCTCGTTGAGGAAGTGGGGGCAGCAAAGGAGCAGGTGGCTCGAGCTGTGGGCACCTGGAGGCCCATCCTGGGGGTCCATGCCCAGGGAGGGGGTCATGGAGCCGGGGTCCAGGCTCAGGGTCAGATCCTCTATGCTGGAGTAAACCGGCTCGTTCACGCTCTGCCCCGAGGACTTGGAGACGGACAGGGACACTGATGCAGCTGAGGCCCCCGTGGCGGTGTTCCTCCTCTGGGCGGCGTACCCCCGCTGAGCCGCCGCCTCGTGGAAGTCAAACAGGATGCTCTGAGCGTCAAAGTGGACAAAAGTCTTGGGGCACACCCACGGTTTGTAGGAGGGGTCAGAAGCAGCCCGGCCTCCCACGTCCTCACTAGTCTCTCCCTTCCCTCCGTCCAGCTCGCCGCGACTAGAGCTCCGAAGTTTCCTGAACAAAGAGGAGGTGCCCAGCGACGACTCTGTGCCCCCGCTCTTCTTCCTCACTCTCTCTGCTCCGTCCTTCCTTCCTGTCCCTCTGTCCTCCCCACCTGTGGGACCAGGTGAGGGAGCAGAGGGGAGGGGTGCGCTTGGTTGCGACTCTGGAGCTCCCAGCAGCTCTCCGAGTCGTACGGGTGCAGAGCTGCGCTGGTCGGGCCTCTCCTGGTGGAACTGAGTCAGCATGTCGAAGAAACTCTGCTCAGGGATGCCCTGGATGTCGATGGAGGAGGTGCTGCCGTACTCTCTGAACATGCTCCCCATCCCGCCACCGCCACGGACCTCCACCTAAAAAGAAAAAAAGGTAGGAAGTTTTAGTGCCATCACTACATCAGATTTTACTACTAATTATCCTGGCCAACAGAATCCAAGATATAATTGCAATATCTATACAAATTTCGATTAGGGTTATTGTTAACATCCCCTTACATCTACGGTGACATCTCATTGGATTCAAAACAACACTGAGGGTGCTTTTACACGATGTCTGCTCGATGGTTTAAAAAAAAAAAAAAAACTCTGGGGCGTCCAATCACAGGTTTTTATAATAGCAAATATGTATATTTAGCATGCATTTAAAAGCAGTTAACTGGGCCATGAACTGCCATTGAAGCTAGCTGTGAGAACAACAGGATCATCTGGTATGTACATCACCACAGAGAACAGAAGAATAAAACAGAGGAAAGTAGTGAACCACACATTAACTATGCCCCTCTAATGGTTAGGTACAACATACCTTTTTCTTTTATCATTATTTCTGCCTTTTTGTCATGACACATAACATGAGGTGGAGTTGCATTCTGGATTATGATTACGCATAATAATCTTGTTACTTCTTGTTAAGTTCTTTGTGACACCACACAAACTAATTGCAGAAAAGTGCAGCATGACAGTCAGTACACTGTGTGGTTTCTCACTGTGGGTCAAAGCAGCTCCTTGTCATGCTGTGAATAGAGCAGCATGCCAGTTCACTGTGGTGTGAATAGAGCGGCTGGAGCTCCAACACTCACCTCATTTTCGTCCTGTTCGCTCAGCGTCACTTCGCTGTTGGAGCGCTGTCTCAGTGGAGGGAACACTCTCAGGCTATAATGTGGATTTCTTTCAACACTGAACCCTCCACCTCTGAACTCCACATCCTTAGACCGTCTCCGTGGTAGCCTGGCGACTCCTCCCCGCACCAGCCCCATGTCAGATGACAAACCTGAAGAGTAAAGAGTGGAGCAGTCGTCTCCGTAGCGAAGGTTGCTAATTTGCCCGTTTTCAAGTAGCGACTCCCTGGAATGTGCGCGGCGTGGCGGCCATTCTGCAATCCGTGCCCGAACACCCATTTTGGGCACGGAGATGCGCGGTAACATGGCCGGGTCGCAGGGGCCAAGTGCCGGGTGGCCATTGGGGGTGTGACGAAAGGGAGTGTGCTGCATAAAACCTCCTCCTCCTCCTCCATCCAGGAGGTCGGAGGAGGTGCAGGTCACCCCTCTGTCTCTGTAGCTGTTCATGGCGCCCCAGGAGAGCTCAGGGCAGAGATGCAGGGGGTTGGCATCCCATGGTAGGAGGTGTGCAGGGAAAGAGGGAGAGGGGTGGCCCCACACACACTCGGCTGATGGTGCTACGGCCTCCAGCTCCAAAAAAACATCGCTTTCAACCGGCACGGTGGGAATCACTTCACTAGTCCATTGAGGACCAGTTTGAGTCAGGAACACTCGTCGTCTTCTGCTGTTTTCCGTCTGATGCAGATCTGAAAACAAAAGCGAAAAAGTATTACAATAAATCTGCTTAGGAAACAATTTGCATCGTTTGAAACACAGAGATTATGTGACCCACATTTTTCTCCACAGGCGCAAAGTAAAACTGACTGCTGAATTTAGAAGAGAGCGAGTCACCCAACTGTAAAACAATGTGAGACTGATAAGATAGAGAGAGGGAGGGAGAGGGAGAGAGAGAGAGAATAAGGTGAGGGGATATGACAGAGGATTTCTTCCATTGAGGCTAATCTTCAGGAGGCTGACAAGGGATATTATTATCACACACCCTGTGCACGTGCGCTCACACACAAACACTCATATACCCAGAGGACATGAAGGCTGAGGCCGCTCGGCTGCAGATTAAAACCACTGAAACACTCCAGCTAATATAATCCCACTCAAAAGTAATCCAGATGCAAAGAGAACATTTGAACATTTCAGCGCTGTAGCATATTTTCTTAGACATGAGTCTCATTTAGGAAAAGGCCCACAGTGATGATGTGGGCTGCATTTGTCTAAGACAGAAGCTACTCTTTTCAATACGTATTACAGCGAGAAGCCAAACCACAAACAGCTTTGAGATACGAGTAGGGACTGCAGTAGAGACAGAAAAGGGCGAAGGCACAAAGTGACCCAACAGATGGAGTGGTGAGGTGGGGTGAATCCAGAAATAGTGTGACGGAGTGGAGAAAGAGCAAGGAAGAGAGCGGTACATTGCTCAGTGAACCGCAGCAGCGTGCTTTAAATATGACAGTCACCCCGCATCAAGTCTTAAAAACCCACCAGCCTAGTGAGTTTCTTGTTCACTCAGAAGCAACTTGTGTCTCTACCGAAGTTAAATGTGATGATTTCTACAGGCATTCCTGTCTTCACTGCACGGCTACAGAAGATAGTGTCAGCGATTTGGTTTAAAAGGCTAAACGTTAACTGGTGATTCACTCATAAAGTTCCCGGAAGTCTGGACAAAAGTTTTATTACATCGTCACATTCCTTGGGCTGTGAATGTCGCAGTTGTTGAGTGACCGGCTAAGAATTCATATCGGAGATTATGACGATGAGGTTATGAATGCACTGGATGGACCACATTATGAAGTCAGCAAGCAATGACAATATGCTGGCAGTGATTCACATGCAAACATGAACAAGAGCCTCATACATCAAGAACACTTTATCTGTATTGTGAAGTCTCACTGTTACATTTAAGACATTTAATACCAAATAAAATGGTATTTAATATCTGTTTCACAATGATACTGTAGAAAGTCTAAGGGAAAACCAGTGGGGATGACATTTACTAGTATTCATTATTATCATATCACATGTTTTTTGCGAGCAGTGTTTCATAATTTCTAATGATACAATCAATAAATGAATGCTACTTAAATCCAGTTAAGTGTCAACAAGCTTCATCGAACTTTCATTTTCACTGCTAGCACCTGAATCAAAGGGGTAGTCTAGAAAATAAGGTCCTTTTTGGAGCTAACTAAATTCAAACCTTTTAAAAACTCAACATGACACGTGGAAAACATGATGACAGTCTGTGGGGTGTTTAGATGTTTTGGAGCATTGGCTAAATGTCTAAAAATGTAAATGTACTACCCATCTAATCAAATATTATTTTCCTCTCTCTCGAGTGTCTGTTTAATCTCATTTTCTATTGAGCTCTTCATTCATGGGTTTAAGCTTTTTATCATAAGTCTCTCCTCAGACTGCCAAAGTCATTGAAATATCTACACTAAATTTACTGAGATGGTAAACGCACATCATCTGCATTTCACACCGTTTGTCTTCACCACAACTTGTGATACTACCACACTTGCTGCCGATGTAAGCAGTTTTTCGTCCGTATGTTCAACTTTTATTTAGTTAACCAATGACCTTTCACATTTCACAACCTATGAAAGCCTGTCCAGTGATTAATGAGACACTAGCAGTAACATTTTTACTCCTCAGACAAAGGCTTTCAGGAATTCAATTGTATGATTCAACCTCAAGCAAAAACACACACCCACACACACAATGTTTAATTGCATAATCATCCTGACTCCCATCTCAACACATTAAAATCAAAGCACTTTCACCTATGCTGCTGTTTACTGGCATTTAAAAACACTGCCTGTTTGCAGTAACTTCAATAGCCTGCAGAATGCACATATTAGACATCTCTACGTGAGAACACATCTTTGCTCATCTCTCTCTAGCTGCCTCAGCTTTTGTAAAGTCTACAGAAGTCGACTCCTGGGTGGACTATCTCGTTATGAAGTCTAATTTGCATAACGTCGAGCTTTTCATTGTGTCAAAGCAGCGCACAGTGGTTTGTGTGTGTTTTACACAACGTCTTTTATGAGTCCTTGCTGAATTCATTTTCTGGCTTCAAGACTGCATTACTCATCACTCATACTCGCACACAAACTCAGTTCACAGCAAACAAAATCCCCCTATCGTCTCACAGCCACACAAATGTATCATGTCTTTGTTTTTGGAGAACCACAGGCGCGTTCGGGCCAAAGGCTCCTGCTCTGATCATGCTTCCTGACAGAGTCTTTCCTCTTCCTGTGATCCACTATCAGGCCCAATCCCAGATTACCCGGCCCCAGCTGCAGAGCCGCAGAATGGCTTCATTATGTGTCTGAGGTTCCTGAAGAGAGAGAGTGTGGGCTGATCTTTACCAGGGACTTCTGTCAGCACACAGCCCATCAGAGAGAAATATACCTGACAAAAAGAACAGTAGGGATTGTCTGCGATGACAAATCCACCACTGTGTGCCTAATGTATCCATATTATGCAAATATATATATGCATAGAAGTTCATTATTGCCATTATGGGTGACAAATATTCTCAACTCAAGGTGTCATTTTTGTCAGATCTTTCAACCACATCTAAATGTCTTCCTCATCAAATGAAGCTCACACACCAACTGGTATGTGGGAAGAAAGATAAAATCCCCCTATTTTTAAACCCCTCAAAAAGGATCAGTCACACATTAAGTGTAGAAACTTATATAATAACAACTGTACCGTTAGACAAACCGTTTTATTTCCTCCAAAACAATAGGACAATTTTGAAATATCAGCAGTAAATATAGGGCCTTATCTACTCGAAGACCTAATCCATTGTGGAGTAAGAGAGAACTAGGGCTGTGCGATATATCGAAATGATATCGTCATTGTGATACCAATGTTTGTGGTAAACGCATCTCAAATACAGCTTGAACTACGATAATTGTAGTTATTCAATGCACCATGCATTCACGCTCTACATGTTAATATATGTGGCCCTTCTTCTCTAGATTGTTGCCCCCATGTAGAAGTCACGCTGGAGTGGTAAAGCTAACGGACTGTCTTGATGGGTGAAGGGAGAGAGACTCATGAGGAAATATGGGGGTCGAAAAAGCAGAGGAAGAACTTGTATACTAAGAACAGCACGTCTGTTATTTGCAAGTCTTTTGGTTCCAAGAAAGATGAAGTTTAACAAACACAGGTTTTATGAGAGTCATGCCGAACATGTGTGGCAACCAATCAGAGGTAACAGGAGTACCTGCAGCCTCTGAGATGTGCAGCGCCAGAGCACAGTGCTGTTTACGCATGGCCTGCCACTGTTTGCCTTCATTAGATCTGCTGAAAACGACAGCTGCTGCTACCGTACAGCCACTCCGAACTCTACACACATCTGATGCTCGGTTATTACTTCATATTTGGCTTTTTGATGAAGACGTCTGGTCACCAGGGCGCATCACAGCGTCTTTTCTGACTTGAGAAAGTTGAATCTGAACGATGTGTGCAATGATAACAGCAGACTTGCGCACATATTAACAAGTGTGCCCCTTGTGTGAACTGTGTATGTTATGTTTTATTTATTTCAATTATCCAGGAAGTATGGATGTGTTTGTTTATGGTAACAGAAAATGATCAGTTTTGCACAAGTGATCATTAAATAAGAAAACAAACACACTATGTTGTTGCTGTAATACAAATAATGCACCTACTTTTTTTTCAGTTTCACAATGACCTTTGACCACTACTATTTAATGATTTTATCCTTGAAGACAAGTGGACATGAGGGCTACATTTGAAGAAATTCCCGCAGCTTTCTGGACACATCACGTTCGTGAACAGAGGCACAAAATATAAAAAGATCAAATAAAAGAAATCCCGTGAGAAGAAAGAATTCATCTCCATCTAATACAGTAAGAATTGAGCAGGATCGCACATCTTTGGCTCAGACTTCAAGTGCAGATGTGTAATGACTTTTAATTGCTCGCATACAGTAATTACTCAGCTCTGGGATGCACCTCCCCTGTTTTGATTCTCCCCGTCTATCCCATTCATGATCTTTCCCGCTTCTCCCTCAACACCCGCCCCGACTTGCTCTGCACGATGCACACTTGGCTCGGCACCACAAACACACACCGAGGCGGGTAATTACTCTGGTTAGATGGTAGTAATGACAGAGTTAGCAGAGGAGTACAGCTTCCAGAGGAATGAGTGTGTGTGGAGGAGGTGCCTACTGATGCTGCTGGTGGGATGTCATATAGGCAGACCTGAGATCAGCCTGGAGAGCTTCTCACAAATGTATATTCGATATCAGAGACAATGAGAGACAGTATGTTTCCGTCTCTGCTGCTGCCAAAATAAATAGCAACCTAATTATTTGGGAGTGACGAAGGAATGTATGGCAGCAAGCAAGGGAGAAGCTGTTCGGGCAACGACCAAAGGCTTCTACAAATCTGTGATTATCTAAATGATTAAATGATAAGGAAGACATAAACTGCTGGCATTGTGGCAAGACAAAATACTTTTTTCTGAAAACAGTAACAACTCCCCAGACATCAAACATCAGCAGCAGTTACTGTAAGTATTTAAATTAAGCAAACGATGCCAGAGCGAGCTAGATTATGGGCTGGTTTGAAGAGCAGATGGTGGTACATATGACTGGCAGATGGCAGACAGGAGCAGAGCCGAGCACGACACGGTAACACAACACAATGCAGCG